TGGGGCTAGGGGCCGCTTCAGGGGGTGCGGGGGGTTTAGAGGGCGCTGCAGGGCGCGGGGGTGTAGGGGGCGCCGAGGTTTAGGGGCGCGGGGGGTAGGGGGCGCTGCAGGGGAGCGGGCTGTTGGGGGCGCTGCAGAGGGCGCGGGGCACCCCCGGAGGGCACGGCCGGAAGCCGGGGTGGGGCCCCCGCGCGGGATGCGGTGAAGGACAGACGGCGCGGCGGCGGCTATGAGTGCCTCTGCGGCCACCGGGGTGTTCGTGCTGTCCCTGTCCGCCATCCCGGTCACCTACGTCTTCAACCTGCTGGCGGCCCAGCACGAGTGAGTGCCCGGGGGTCGGCGCCGTGCGGCTGGAGCCCAAACTTCCCGGCTGGGGCTGGAGCCGCACCTGCGGGGCTGCCCGTCGGACCGGGCCGGGGAGGGGAGGGCGCTCGGCTGGGCCTCCCTCAGGCTGGCATCCTTGACACTGGGCGCAATTCTGGGGCCAAGTGCCAGGCGCCAGCCCCGGGCCGGGTATCCGGGGTTACAGAGGTCAATAAGGCAATGCCCCTGCCCTTGAGGGGGGCTCAGGGGCAGGGGTGGGGTCGGTCCAGATACCCACAGCCGTGGTGTGGCCATGTTCTCTGGGGTTGGGCCTTGGTCGTCTCGCATTTCACAGGAACGTCTCCATGTATGGCACACACATACTTATCATTGCTTATTAATTTTAGAAACCGTTGTGAATGACTAACAGAAATAGCCCTGAACCAGCAGGCAAAGACCTGGGTTCTAGGTGCCGCCGTGGTACTAACGGTGTGGTCTGGCCTCAGTTTTCCTGTCTGTCAAATGGTCTGCTATTTGCATCCCATTGTCAGGATCCAGAGACCCGTCTGGGAAGGGGCGTGGCGCTGGACCCAGCGCAGGTGAGGCAGGCAGGTAGTGCCAAGGAAGTGGGTGGGGTTCAGAGCCCTGCCTCTCACTTCCCTGGGAGGGTCCCTGGCTAAGCAGCCCAGCACCGGCAGAGACAGGCCTGCTGGGGCAGTGGGGTGGTGCCTGTCCCCTCGCCTGCTACCACTCCTTGCTGCCCCGAGGGAGGAGGAAGGAACCCGTTGGGTTTCCAACTGCGGTTGGTGCTAAGGAAATTGCATCAGCCTGTACCCTGCAAACCCCTCCAGACTGCAGAGGGGCGTGTGCTCACAGGGTGGTGACTTCCTCCCCTCCGTGCTGGGACCGCCACTTGCTGACAGCCTTATTCAGGGGGCACCCGTCCCTCCTGCATGCTCTCCAGGCCCAGGGCCGTGTGTGCCCTTGGTCTGACCCAGTCCTGGGGCACTGCTCCTGGATGAAGCAACTCTGGGGAGGGAATGTCACATGTTTGTGAAGACAGTGCATGGGGACCCTGCACTTCTAAAATGGCATTACGGGCAGTTCAACAAACAATTATGAAGCATGGTCTCTGTGCTTGGCACTGTGCCAAGTGCTGGGGACC